ATCAAATTGTTCAAATGCGTTTTTATCGTGGTCCATGTCGATAGATCAATCCAAGCCATTACACAAATATGAGAACATTATGGGGTGGAGAAATACAACATGGCGAGTTAAAAAAAGTCATTGCATTTCTATTTGTGCCATTTTTTCATAATCTAAACGCCTCATGTTTAGGGGTAGAATGACCTATGTATATGTATTTTGGTTGGAGCGATTGTTTGTYGGGTCCATTTTGTAGTTTGCAGGTTATCAAATTGGATCACCAACTTTGCTTTCATCATCTTATTTGTATCGGTCCAAGTTATTCCGATTGGACCCATTTGCATGTGCATTGAATCTAAGCTTTTTATGAAAGACCTTTTCAAATGTCGTTTTTAGTGTTCCGTCATAAGGTGTATGTTGCAGTTTTTATATTGCAGACTCTGTGCATTGCACGGGCACATTGCTAGTAATATAACATAGATATAGATAAGCTTGGTATGAAATTAAGTATTTTAAGAACACCACTCAAAAGCTAGCTCGCCCCTTAATAGGTCCACCCCTAACTCTAGTGTTTTAATGTATTTTAATAAAATACCTACCATTCTAAACATATATGCATGCATAAATAACCAAGAGGGTGCCCATGTTGACTTTTTGACTTGGTAAAATTGAAAATCAAAATAATACATTATCCAAACAATTTGTAGTACAATTTAAAAAAAAAACGTGATAGATTTGATTTTGGATGAAAATTAAATGGGTGAATAGTCAACTAAAGCAGATTTTAGTCGTTACGTTTAATGTTATCTTAAATATAACGTAATTATTTAGTCCCAAAAGTTGGAACCTTCATAACCCTTGATTGAAACTACTCCAATTCTAGATAGTGCTTGATACACGACGTCAATGATGATACAGATCAAAAGGGCATTGGTTTAGTGGTATGTGAGTGATTGGTCTCCTAAAATGTCAAGGGTTCAAAACTCACTAAACGTGAGGAGGGTGTGTGAGTTTATTTGTTCTTATTAAACAAGTAGTCACGTTTGATCGGATAAAAGACAAAAAATCGATAAAATAATAAAAATATCCCTTATTTAACGGAATTTTTTAAAGACAGTTAAGGGGGGACTAAATTCATAATGTTTTTACAAATCATGATGGTCATCATATAATTCTAAAACTAAATGAACGAAACTTATTATTTTCGATAAAACCACAAGGACCAAACTTGTAGTTTACTTTAGACATTATTTCACATGATTTTTTTTTCATATAATGCTATATTTGTTTTGCAGTATGTTTTTACATATTTATTTGGTTCATAGTTAGAAACTTTTTATTTGTATTATTTGTTTCACAAACACATAAACTGTTTACATTATGAAACAAATACATGTTAATCAATACATTATACGCATGCAAACTATTGATGAAAATAATATGTAAAATAACAGAAAATGCACTATTTTTAAAGTTATCATATTTATGGATTCTCAAATAGTAACATTAAACTTAATTATGAAACCATTTTATTAATAAATAATTATTATTTAATAATATAATTTTGCAACGATGTTTAACGCAATAATATAAAAAGTTAAAAATAATGGACACAAATCTGTCGTTGGATAAATATGACGAGTAGCACAAAATCACCAATAAATCCTTTTTTTATTGTTTAGTCAATATGACCAACCCCTTCATTTCTTAACATCATCTAACGATAAAAATATTTATTATATTTAATACCAAACCAAACCTAATCAAACTTCTCTCTCTCTATATATAGGGGCAGGTTCAAATGCGAACCATCCAATTCTTACAAACCGTGTGAACCAAGTTCGACCAATAAGATAATTTCATTTATTTTTAATTAAATTTAATTGATAAGGTTATTTATGTCATTTTACAAAAAAGTTTGATAATTAAGGAAGTTAGTAATATATTTTATTTAAGGCAAATTTATTAGGAGAAAG